ATTCATTCAATCTATCTTGAGACATTGTTGATCTTAGAGAAGATTTAATCAATTTTAATTTCGAACAAAGAAAAATTTGGTTGAGGCAACGGTTACAGGAACTGTTAACATTATCTTATGAGCAATATGTGTATTTGGAAAAGAATCAAATATTTTTATTTGATTGAGTATTTTCATTACATCATTATCTTCTACTTGTATTATTTATCTTTAACACTTTTAATTCAAAAAATAAATCTAAACCAGCAATTCAAAATAACTAGTATGTGTTAAAGAAAGTTCAAGGTTAAGACAGTATTTTTAAAAAAATTTCATCATCTAGTAATCTCAATATTTTACCACTAAATAAGAAATCAAAAATATTTTTATATACTTCAATTGGTTCAAATCTATTTTAAAGTGAAAAAATAGTTTGATCTACTCTACATATGTAACGTAATCAACTCTAAAGATTCTTCAAGGGACTTAGTGATTTAGTTATCCATATTTTCATCAAATTATTTCTTATGAAAATCATATTTATATTCATGTCATATGTAATTTTTTTAGTAGAAATCATAGCACTCATAGTACACATAATTTTATTTAAAAAAAAAAAAAACATATATAAGCAAAAAAAATTTGAAATATGAGGCCAAAGCGATGACTTTAGTGGCCTAGGGGTTAAGACGGCCCTGATGGTATGGAATGAATATGAACCCTCTGAATTTCAGGACAAATAGTGTTCGACGATAGTTTTTACAAAAATCCATGTGCTGTATATGTTTATACCGGCCAAAATCTGACCCATAAAAAAAGTTTTGATTTGTTTTGGTTCAAAGAACCTCAATTGAAAATCAAGAAATTAAATGAATAAAAATCGAATCGAATATTTAGTAACCATACTGAAAGTCTGAAACAAAATAATTTCATAAAGATTTTGAATTTGTCAATTTGACAAAGGTATGTACCAATTTATCCTACATATATCTATCAAATCAAGATTGCATTGTTACTGACATAGTCCTTCTACACATTAAATGATGCAATTTACTTTATCAATAAGGATCGCAGTGGAGCAATAAATATTTTTTATTTTTAACTAAAATAACTTGATTTTGAGTTTTGAATATGAAATTAACTTTTCATTTTACTTTCACGTGAGAGTTTCTGACACGAATTGGACGGACCTTATTTTTCTTCTTGTTTTGGGAACCTAAAATATGATGTGATCAAATTCTCCATTTCTTCTACTCTATTCACATGTGAAAAATAAAACCAGGTTCATGAACCTTATGTTATACATTGCATTAAATTATAATCAAAGTTCTGCTACATCTTCTAGTATGGTAAGTGCTAAGACTGAGATACTCATGCTATTTAATGGACACTTGATCATAATATGGTGTTACATGTTATCACATATATCTTTGTTATTTTCAGGGGTCGTTTGGTAGACCGCATTAGAAGAAATAGTCTATGTATTAGGTAGGGTATTATTTATTATATGTTTGGTAGGAATTTGGGCATATGTATAACTAATCCATGGATTAGTTATACCTCCTACATGGTATTATAGGATGTATTACTAATACCTTCCATTTGGAGGTATTAGTAATACATAGGATATAATACCATGTGATAAGCCTATGTAAAGACAAAAATATCCCTCAAATCATTTTAATTAATTTGTTTATTTTCTTGATTTTATGATTTATATTTGTACTAGTAAATTTATTTAAATAAATTAACTTACAAATTATTTAGAGAGAGTTGTTTGTTACTAAATAAATTCAATACAAATTTGAAATGTGAGTTGTTTATTTGTATATGACGTTTGTGATCTTAATTGAATGTGTGTATATATATATATACATATATTTGTGTGGTTTTCTAATTATTCGTATTTTGAAGAATTTAAAACATACATACATATTAAAACTACAACTTACAATTTTTATGTGTAAATGTAGATAGTTTATTCAATTTTACCATTGTTGACCGTCTTTTCGATTTTAATAGTAGATGGTTTATCTTTTTTAAATTGAAAAATAACATTTTGTGAGTGATCAATTTATTAAGATGACAATTATTTATCCTCAAATAATTCAAGTGAACAAATAGCAAAGATGATAACAAAATTGTTCTTCTCATAGCTAGTTAGAAGGCCATAAAAATAATTTTGTCCGACAATTATCTACCTTGACCCAATCACCTAATAATTCAAGGGTATAATTGGAAAGAAGACTTTTATAGAGTTTTAAACCAAACACAAGATGAGGTGAGAAATAATGAACCAAACACTTGATAAAAATAAATCTTGCAATACTAATCCCTGCATTACTAATTCCTCCGTTACTAATCCCTGCGTTATCTTTTTTGTTTATTGTCAGATCAACTTACACACATCTTTTTTTTTCACCTTATATTCTTGTTATCTTTATCAAGACAAGTACAAGGTGATAACTTGATTTATTGGCTAATTCTAGGATATGTACAAGTGTACAGATAGAATCTACTTTTTGTATTCATACGTATAAATACGCTTGTACGCTTGTCACATTGAACTCGTTCTTCCAAGATTTGAAGCTACGGTGTGAATCGGTCGGTTCGGTTCGATTTTATGTATTATCTAATTTGGTTTATCGATTTTTGATCGTTATTGGTCTGCCCAATAAGAAAATGTCCGTAAAATATTATCTGATTCTCACTTCTCTAAATGCTTTAATTTGATATAGTGAAACAAGAAAGATAATGAGAAATTGCATCAATAAGAGAAAATATAGCACGAAGGCTATAATTATATGTCACCGCCAAAACATAATATGAAATTTTTGATGTTAATCAAATTACGGACATTTACAAACTTGCAAATGCTACAACCTACGATTACAATTACAAACTAAAATCAAATAATCCAACAAGACTAAAACTAAAACTAAAATCAAATAGCTACAATAATTGCGAACCATTACTTTAATCTTTAGGTTTTGAGTAAACAGTAAAAACTAGTAAAGTGGCCTAGTGTGAAGTAGGTAGAGTACTAATAATTTGATATAGTTATAGTGTCTAGTTATATATTAAATTATTAATATTTAATAATTAGGAAGGGTAAAATAGTAAATTATTACCGTCTTATTGGGTTATCGGTTTACCCAATAACCTAATAGTAAATACCGATACCGTACCAATAACCCAATAACTTTTTTTTATAACCCAATAACCCAATATCATTTTTTCCGTTCGATTTATCGGTCAGTTCATTTTTTCAGACCCCTAACTTATGTTTACCAAACAAAGGTTTTACTGTATTTAAAAAAAATTGAATGTTGAAAGAAATCGTTTTACAATTACAAAACCAAAAAAAAATAAATAGTCCAATCCTATTAAGAAACAAATTTTGTTTCAACTAGGAGATTCTAATACAGTAGTTATAAATAAAATCAGTTGATGTATGTTTTTTTTAATTATAAGCTTTTTTGTTCCATCTTAATTTGCTCTTTGTTTCTTGGCATACCTGTCTTGTTCATGGAGGAAATACTTGTGAACATTCTGAGCAGGCTACCTGTGAAGTCAGTTGTTCGTTTCAATTGCGTCTCAAAATTTTGGAATACATTAATTTCTCACCCTTATTTTAGGAAGAAACATCTCAATCATGCCAAAAATCAAGCCAGATCCCAAAAATTACTTTCTTTCTACTGCCCTAACGATGCAGATGATAATAATCGTCTTCACTTCTATTCGTATTCTTTATCGTTGGTTCAACTTGTTAAAGATATCCGTGTAGTTGATTGCCCTTCAAATTCGAATCCATCAGATGGTTTTGAGGTCTATTGTAGTTGTGATGGCTTGTTTCTGATCGGAATTTGGACTGAACCTCATGTTGAACAACCTTCAGTAGTATTGATATGGAATCCCTCTACAAGAGAATCTATAGTACTTCCCCATTCCAAATTCAATAACGATGATGATGACGATGATGAATTCCGATCTACTTATGGATTGGGTTATGACTCTATTAGTGATGACTATAAAATCTTTAGGTTGGTCATGACTAAAGATGGCCAAAACAAAAACGAAATTTTCGCATTGAAAAATAATTCATGGAGAATTATTGAAGAAACGTCTTCATTAGATGGGACAGATTGTTCTATGTATTCTGGTGGAGAATTTTTGCCATTTGTAGATGGAGCATTTCATTGGCTTGGTATCTCATCAAAGTTGAGTGCTGTTTCATTTAATATTTCATCCGAGGTGTACAGAGACATACCATTGCCAGAGATCGTGTGTTACCTCACTCTATCTAGGTTCGAGTATGATGTTAAAATTGAAGTTGATGTGGGCCTAACAGTGTTGGCCGGAATGCTTGGTCTTTATTATAAAGATGACAATTTTTTTAATTTATGGGTAATGGAAGACAAGCATGGCTCTTCATGGATGAAATTGTTCACTATACCAAGCTACGGAATTTACAGAGTCATACCGACATATACGTTTTCAGATTATCAAATGTTACTTTGTTTTCAATTAGATTCGACAACAAGGTCAAGATTCGTATATAGGATCATATCTGTTGGATCATTTGGATTAAACAATCAAATATGGCCTCTAGATCATGATGCAAAGGATGGTATTGTTTACACGGAAAGTCTCATCTTTCCGAAACTAGGTCAATAAACTGGTCATCTGAATATTATTGCTTTCATTACTTATTAGTATATATATTGTTATTTGCTTTAGTGAGATGAATACATTTTTTTTTTCAAATTTTACATACTAAAAAGCTTGTAGATAGCATAAGTGTATAATTTGAATCTTATCTTTGCACATTGGAAATTCACAAGAATTGCCAAATACAATATATAAAGCCATGTTGCTTACATTCATCAACAAAAAAAGGTTGCCTCGGAGAGTTCAAAAATGCACTACTTGGAAGGATCAGACACACACCTAACGACAAATTTGAAGAGTCTGAACAATCTAGTCTAGGACTATAGTAGTCTAGCACGTAAAAGAAAAGTTTAAAAGTGGCGGGGACGATGGAAAATAGACACCAAACTTGGTACATAAGGGATAACAATTACAGAGCTAGACAGAGGAAATACACTCAACAGCATTCCAGTTGCTACATCAATAAAGATTACACTCTCACATCTAATTTGAATCACCAAAATGTCATCAGTAACATATGAGATGAACCACTCTGTCATATTTATATTGTAAGCCATATTAGGAACACTCACATTGAGCTCGTTCTTCCAAGAATTGAAGCTACTCAAATCATTTATAGTGTCCGCAATATATACCTTGATCAAGAGGGAGAAAATGGGACCATAACTTATGTTTACCAAACAAAGGTTTCCTCCCTTTTCTACTATCCTAGTCACATACCGGTTTCCTTCTTCTAGGCTATCGAGTTCAGCTGGAACCATAGTCGTAAAAACTTCTTCTTTACATACATCAAAACATAGGAGGCTTTTAATGCTCTTACTCCCACAAAGTGGCAGAGTATGACTTTCCATATACCAATATATTACCCCCTTCACATTTGCACCCTTCTCATGTCTTGAATGAAATTTTCTATCACGAATTGCTTTCAGAGACCTCCACGAACGGTCAGTTCCAACAGTAAAAACTAATGGTTTAGTCCCTGCATCAATATATTCATGAAGAACAATCACCTTGTATTCATATGAAAGCTGGCAAAACCCGAAGCCAACTGCAACAAGACGGAGTGGAACAGAAATATTATTTTCATATGTATATGATGGAGTAGTGAAATACTCTTCAGTCAGAGGATTGCACACATGGAGACGAGCATTGCAACTCCAAAAACAAACAAAACCATTCACAGAATTCACCGTTATCATAATTCTTGGGTGGTCGAATACATCATCTAATGTATACATGAATTTAGTCTCCCAATTTTCATCAGAACTACTGTGCCATTCCAAGGCAGAAACTGTGATGGAACGTCCATCATTTGTCATTTCAATAACAACGGCTTCCAATTGTGAGAACGATGATGATTTCAATATTCCGCATTCAACGTGTGAGTAGGCAAAACTCCCACTATAGATAATCGAACACCACTGCATACATACTTTCTTTAAAGTTTCACACAAATCTTTGCAAGGTACTCTTTGTAATATCTCAACAACAACTTCTTTGGGTATAAAAATATTGACATGTTGCTTTTTTGTTGTCTTTGAGATCAGCATTCTTTCTTTCTATCTATATAAAATGCCCTACTAATCAAGAAAATGAAGTATTTTAACGAAATATTAAAATCAATATTATTCATAATAGTAGCCTACATAGAATAAATGTTGAAGAAGATGTTCTCCTATTACATTGAAGAAAGTATTTTTCTTTCTTTCTAATTGAAGATATGCTATGTTTAAAACATGCATCAAAGTCAAAAAGCAATAACATACGTAGTGTAATCTCACCAGTGGGATCTGAGGATGGTGGTGTGTACGTAGCCTTACCCCTACCTTTATGAAAGTAGAGAGACTGTTTCCAATAGACTCTCGGCTCAAGTAAACATATAAAAAGATCAAGATGGCAATTGGCATGTAAAGAAAATACAAAAGCAAGAAGCCATGCTGAAAACAACTAATTAATAGGAGATCAGGTAGCAACAACAACAACAAAATAATATGTGAATTGAAGCAAATGAAACAACAAATATGATAATAAGTGAACTAGACAACGTTCGACTACCTACTAATTACATTCTACCCTAATCCTCAACCTCCAAAGAGATTCCAGTAAAGGAAGCAACTCACCTTAATCATCATCAATACCCCAAGATTTGTAATCATCAAGTGTAGTATTATCAAGAAACTGATCTGATGGAAGTTAAGAAACAAACAAGTGAGTGAGATCTAAGTAGAGAAAATTAAGCTAGACTCATTCTTATTTTGTATTTTTTATTTAATTGACTAGTTCATTTCAATTCATGTTTTCTGTTTTAATTGGGGTTTAAGTAAAATATATACCCTACATTATTTTAAGTGTATTTTTGAAGAGGGGAGAAAATGATCAAAATGGTATTTTGTATATATCACCTAATCGAAATAATACTTAATGGATCCAGATCCGGATCCTTTCCATATCCCTTCTCTCCTTTTTTCGTCAAGTTCTTATTTGAATCGGAGACAAATGGAATAAGCAAATATTAATAGTTAGATTTAATTGATTAGAATAAGATTCTAATTATGATTTGGATATTTAATATTTCATAAAAGATTAGCAATATCATAATCATAGCAATATATTGATCCATAAATATATTATTAAAAAAATTCTCTTTTCCAAAGAGGAGTCAGATCCCTATACAGAGGAAGAGCCACATGTATAGGTGAAAATGCACGTGCATCCATTAACTTTTATAAAAAAATATGTGTATATATGTATATCTTAAAAAACTGACAGGAGCTATGATATAATTAATAGTACACCTATGAGGAGCATATGAGTGCCCTTGTGCACCGCTGGTACAAGCCAAAGTAATCATTGACGAGACCAGGGTCTGAATCCTGCTAGAGTCCTATTTCACATTTTTATTTTAAATTTAGCTTAGTGCTCATGTTTGAGTCATTAGTGATCAATCGAATGCTACATTATCCGTTGATTGTTATTGAAAATGATAAACCTCGTATAGATTAATTTGTTTTTACAAAGAGCTTACTTTTGCATCCAAAAGAAAAGAAGGATTTCAAATATAATCTTGAAGACTAAATATCTAATTTTAATATATGTTTTTCTATACAAATATACGGGTGCCAACTAATTCTTTTTATTTAACTTATTGTTGTAAGTGTGTACTTCTATTAGGGCACAAATTAGTCATTTGTGACTTTATTGGAAATTTGCTAACTATTAACTAAAGTTAAAAATTATAATTGATTGTTTAAAAGAAAATTAAATTAAGACATGAAATACACTTCTTATTTGGTGTTTGTTGTCAGACTTCTAAAAATTTATTTGGGATTGTTGCATTTTAGTATTTATTACACACATACTTTCATAAAAATCGTTCTACAAATTTATAAAAGTTGATATGTGTCACACATGCGACACACATCGTTTTTCAATTAAAGAAGAAATATTAGAAATAATCAATCAAAATTATTACAAAAGAAAGTTCTATTAGCAGGGCAGACTTCAATGTGAAGCCACTAAAGCACATGCTTGAGGGCCCCATTTATACATTACTTCATTAGTTTTAATTTATTTGGTCTATTTTGATTTGACACAAAAAAAATTTAAAAATAAATAAAAAATTGAATCTTGTGGTTTAAAAGTAAAAATATGTTAAATACATCAAAATGCTCTTTAATCTCGTGATTTTAAACATGTCAGTACTCTAAAAAAATATTACTATATTTTTGGGATTATTTCGACTTTGCTATATATACCGTAACTAAACCATTTTGATGATATTTTCTCCTCTCTCCAAATATTACACTTGAAATGTGGGGTATATATTTTAATTAAACCCCAATTAAAACAGAAAAAATCAAATGAAAAGAACTAGTCAATTGAAAAAAAACAAAATTTGAGAGATTCTAGCTTTATTTTCTCTACTAAGTGTAAGATCTCACTCACTTGTTTCTTTACTGCAATATCCTTGGAGGTCGATGATAAGGGTAGAAGGTAATTAGTAGGTAGCCGAATGTTGTCTAGTTCACTTATCAATATCCGTTGTTTTCTTTGCTTCAATTCACATTATTTTGTTGTTGTTGCTACAAGCTCTACAACATGACTTCTTTCTTTTGTATTTTCTTTACATGCCATCTTGATCTTTTTATATGTTTATTTAAGTCGATCGAGGGTCTATTATGAAACAATCTCTTTACCTTCATAAGGTAGGGGTAAGGCTACGTACAATACACCACCATCCCCAGATCCCAGGAATTACACTATATAAGTTGTTGTTGTTGTCATCGTCGTGGTCTCGTTATTTTATACTGCCCTTTTACATTGATACATGTTTTAATTATATCATATCTTCAATTAGAAAGAAAAATTGTAGAATCATCCTATACCAAATTAATCGGATGGGCTGGTGGTTATTATGTCCTTTGTGTGCTGGTGTATCTAATCGGTAGAGAGGTTGTTTCTGGTAGATCCTCAACTCAAAAGAAACGTAAAGGCAAGATGGCAGGGATCATATATGTCTCTTTATTATAAAAAATAAGTAATATTTGCGTGATAGAGAGATTGTTTCTGGGTAGTTCAGGTGCGGTTAAAGTCAACACCGACTAGAAGTCATGCCGATCTTGCCACCAACAAACCTTTGACTTTGGCTGTGAAAAGCTCCAAATAGGCACACAGTAGTTTAAAGTAGGAGTAAAAGTCACTTGCCGACTCTTAGAAAGAACACTATTTTTCTTTACTTAGGTAGTTCTCCCGATCGTAAGACCCTTTATGAGTATAAGGTTAATCGAAGGCTAGGGAAAGTTTATTGGCAAGATGGAACCATTTCTCACCCATATTCGAATACGAGAGAGGGCTTTTCTCTTATCTCTCAAACTATAGGCATTGAAGTGATCGAGAGAAAGTAAGAATACTATTGCACACGCCCCCATTCGACCTTCATTCCCACCCTGCAGCCATAGTGATAGCGGCTATAGCATCCACCGGTAATGTGTAACTCAAAAGAAATGTAACATGAAAACATCTTCAAAATTCATTCTATGTAGGCTACTATTATGAATATTGATTTCAATATTTCGTTAAAATACTTTGTTTCCTTGATTAGTAGGGGCACTTTGGATAGAAAGAAAGAATGCAGGTCTCAAAGACAACGAAAAAGCAACATGTCAACATTTCTATACCCAAAGAAGTTGTCGTTGAGATATTACAAAGAGTACCTTGCAAAGATTTGTTTGAAACTTTAAAGAAAGTATGTATGCAGTGGTGTTCGATTATCTATAGTGGGAGTTTTGCCTACTCACACGTTGAATGCGGAATATTAAAATCATCATCATCGTTCTCACAATTGGAAGCCGTTGTTATTGTCCGTATTGATGGTACACGTTCCGTTACAGTTTCTGCATTGGAATGGCACAGTAGTTTTCCAAACTATCCTCCTGATGACATTTGGGAGACTAAATACATGTATACATTAGATGATGTATTGGAATTTCCACCACAAGTGATAACAGTAAATTCTGTGAATGGTTTTGTCTGTTTCTGGAGTTGCAATGCTCGTCTCCATGTCTGCAATCCTCTGACTGAAGAGTATTTCACTACTCCACCATATACATATGAAAATCGTTTTGTTCCACTCTGTCTTGCTGCAGTTGGCTTCGGGTTTTGCCAGCTTTCATATGAATACAAGGTGGTTATTTTTCATGAAGACGGTGAAGGATTTGAATCTGTTGAGATTAAACCATTAGTTTTTACTGTTGGAACTGACCGTTCGTGGAGGTCTCTGAAAGCAATTCCTGATACAAAATTTTATACGAGACATGAGAAGGGTGTACATGTGAAGGGGGTATTATATTGGTACATGGAGAGTTGTACTCTGCCACGTTGTCGGAGTAAGATCATTAAAAGCCTCATATGTTTTGATGTATCTAAAGAAGAAGTTGTTACGACTATGGTTCCAGCTGAACTCGATAGCCTAGAAGGAGGAGGTCGGTATGTATCTAGGATAGCAGAAAAGGGAGGAAACCTTTGTTTGGTAAACATAAGTTATGGTCCTATTTGCTCCCTCTTGATCAAGGTATATATTGCGGACACTAGTACTGATTTGAGTAGCTTCAATTCTTGGAAGAATGAGTTCAATGTGACTGTTCCTAATATGGCTTACAATATAAGCATCACGAACTCGTGGTTCGTCTCAATTGTTACTGATGACATGTTGGTGATTCAAATTATGAGTGAGAGTGAAATCTTTATTGATGTAGCAACTGGAATGCTGTTGAGTGTATTTCCTCTGTCTAGCTCTGCAATTGTTATCCCTTATGTACCA